TTATATAACATCAAGTGTTTAATTAATTATCTATCATTTAAAACTTGTATGACTTCCTAGCTGTTTGTAATATTGGGAATCCACTCAATTTCTCTCATATATTACAGGTGTTGTCAATAATTTATTAAAATTTTGAGAGCAATTCATTTGGATTCATAGATTCTGATGTTTTAGCAATATTTATGAATTATTTATATACTTGATAAATAAATAAAACAAATAAATTACTGCCTAAATACATATAAATTAACATAAACACAGTATTGATCACATTATATACAGTCATAAATTTAGTATTGATATCATTACACATGGATACAAAACATTTAATTTTTATTAATTTATTATTCTGTAGAAACTATAGAAACTCGCAAATAAGTGGATTAATATAGCAATTAATTTTTGACTTGAATTTTATTACCATTACTATTTAATTTAATTACTAATAAATAAAATTGTAACTACATTTTTAGCAGGGTTTTAACAAAAATTCAGATTTTATTATGCAACTCGTGAGAATCATGTGAAATATTCATACAAAACAATGGGTTTTGTATATGTTTTCAATGAACTGTTTTGTTTTCATACAATAGTATAGTATTGCTAGACATCTGTGAAAATATACAACTACTGTATAACTTATTTATTGACTGATTATATATATCGCTTTATATTTTTATTATCAAAAGCCTACTCATTGTTGTTGTCACAATTTTTTGTAATAATTATTGAATTCCCAATTCGTTTTTGTTCACCTTTAGCTATATAAATAAATGCTATATAAGAACTTTACATGTTTTTAAGAACTAATGTATACGTAACTATTGGTATAAAAGTAAGGAAACCCAACTTTGAGTAAAAATATTTTCGAAACTTAATAATTTTAATTAAAATCTAATTAAGGTCTGAATATTTCTATAAAAATGTCGCAATGATTTAGGTGATAGTTTGTGGGCCAACATGTATAGTAATAATAGGATTTTCGTAATAAATTATAACTTCTGCCATCGAAAATCATTTAAATTATAGTGTATTAAGTCATTATAAAAATGTAATTAAATTCTGCATCAAATGAGTTATTATAGACAACTCTATGCATGAAAATATATTCAAGAAGTTTAGGATTTTAGCAACAATTTTGAATTTCATGGCAAAAATATGTTACAAAGACATTACTACAGAGACAAACAAAACGGTTGCAGAAAATCAGTTAAAAATTTCATTAGATTAACAAAAAAGTTTTTATTATGTGTTTTGAAGTCAAAGTCTCTAATTACAAGTGCAGATAATGTGTGCATAAAAGCCTTTAGTTTTTTGTGACAAATCATAGAAATTTTGTTGACTAATCAAACGTTCAATTTCGACACCAAGATATCAAGTATACACTATACACGTACAAATAACACATACAGACTCACCTGTTTTGCTTAGACAAACATGATGATCCCTGTGCGCCGTAGACGTCCAATGGGAAGGCATACAAATCATTGCATAACTACTATGTCGCAATGATTTAGGTGATAGTTTGTGGGCCAACATGTATAGTAATAATAGGATTTTCGTAATAAATTATAACTTCTGCCATCGAAAATCATTTAAATTATAGTGTATTAAGTCATTATAAAAAATGTAATTAAATTCTGCATCAAATGAGTTATTATAGACAACTCTATGCATGAAAATATATTCAAGAAGTTTAGGATTTTAGCAACAATTTTGAATTTCATGGCAAAAATATGTCACAAAGACTTATGACTACAGAGACAAACAAAACGGTTGCAGAAAATGAGTTAAAAATTTCATTAGATTAACAAAAAAGTTTTTATTATGTGTTTTGAAGTCAAAGTCTCTCATTACAAGTGCAGATAATGTGTGCATAAAAAAGCCCTTAGTTTTTTGTGACAAATCATAGAAATTTTGTTGACTAATCAAACGTTTAATTTCGATAACAAGGATAGTTCATATGTGATATGTGCATGTTTATTGTGTATGTCTGAGTGGACAAAACGAATCTGTTTGTACTACTAGGGACACGCGGCATCTGCAGGTTACCCTTCCGTATGTTTAGTAACGTATTGATGCGCCCCATACGCAGTGCTAACCTTCGCTGCGGACGGGTATATAAGTCGCGAACCAAATACATATCCCCACAGAATATACACACAACTAGTCTCTCATTGACAACACTCTGTGCTAAAAGTTTTCGCAACTTTTTATTTGTTTTGTTAGAAAATCGTACCCAACGTTAGTAACAGCTAAATATAAATCATGTCTGAGTCGCACCTGGATGAGTACGAGCACTACAACTATGACCAGGATAAGTACGCCAATACCGGACACGGAGGCAAACAGAGGTCCAAGAAGGAGATCTCGGATCACACCAATCAGACCGACCCCAACGGTCACACCAGGAAAATAGTGAACAAATTGCAAAACTCAGAGCACAAGAAGGCCAGCCAGAAGCTCGAGAAGAGGCCCAGTCTTAGCTGAATCGCTGCCACCGATTATACAATTGGTAAGTCACTCATGAGGTTTTCCACAAACCCCACCAGATATCATAGCAACCCGTAAATGTATTGGAAGTGCATGTATGCCAAGACCCGCCTAACCCCCAAAAAATCATTGACTAGTTATAATATCTCTAACCCCTAACAATAGTTATTANTCCTAATTATGAACAGCACTGGCATTAAATGGTTAACTCTTTTGGAAATAACGGCTCGACTATTCGACTGATGGCGGGAATGGCAGAAATTCCTACCAAAAAACAACTCTTTTTATATTATAAATACCATTCACTCACTGCAAAGTGGAAATACATCTGACTTTTGAGTGTGGTTTCAATTTTATGGCCGCATATTAGGCAGCGTTTCAATTGATAACTAATTAACTAGTAATTTATATAACAAATTATGACTTGTTTTTAGTTTACTTTTCAAATAAAATAAATTTAATACTTAAATGTGAATTCAAATTGTATTGCAATTTGTGATTTTAAATAAAATTTAAGTTGTGATTACTTTTTGCGTTATATTTTATTAATAAAATTATGATTAAAATCCCTGTTTAACAACAAAGTCTATCTAAATGTTTGTAAATACTGTTTGAAAAAATACTTTGAACTCAACTAACGGTTTAAGAAACTTTTTGGCAAAAAATACATTTCTTTGAAAAATATCTATATTTAAAACTTCGTGTTTCTAATTATAAATAATATAAAAGCCTTTTTGAAAATCACTAGAAATTTTTCCATTAGTGTCTGAATCAGTGAAATCTCAATGTTTTGTATAAAAAGTATTCACTATTTGTTTGCAGTAAAAGACTTTTAGAGATAAATATTTTAAAAGGAAGTGTCGATAAGAAACTGAATATTGTTTTCGCGAAAATTCTGTATAGAATTCACTGGAAATACAAATACCTTTAAATTGCATTTCAGTTCAATATGTTATCCCAAGAATTCAAATACATTAACAAAAACAACTCCCAAAACATATGGGATAAAAGTGTACTTGTATACATTGCCACTGAAAATGTAAATATTCCTACAAATTATGAATCACAAAGTTTTTGGATAACCTTTGAAAAGGGATTCCTCACAGGATTTATCACTTATTTTATCTCATAATCAGATCCTTTGTCTCATAGAGAAGGACGTAATGACTACTAGTTAGGAGACATTTGACTCAAAAATTAATATAAATTACTAATTAATACTAAAGTAGTTGTGTTTAGTATCCCAAAAATAGCGCATGAAAAAGACCTTCAGTTTTATATGGAGTCAAAACAGATATCAAAAGATATATCAAATATAAATACAACAAAAATCTGGTGTTTGCTATATGTTGAAGGCTATGGAAAAAATAAGTGAAACTTTTTTTAAAACTTGTTAAAAACAATTGCCATATTATGTAGTTTAGTGCTAAACAATGGTAACACAATTGAAAACATTAATTTATTATATCAAAGCCATTGCCATTAAATCCTAATCGCGATTATAATTACAGTGCGAATGAGTCACACATTTTTATTTCCTTCAAAATATATTTTATTTAATGAAAAGTCAATAAAACTTATGCCAAACTCTACGATAAAAAGTAAACCAATTTTTTGCTAACAAAGACTATTCAATAAATAAAACTTAATTAAAATACCACAACATATAACTTATTTAACATAAAATACTAGCAAACAATGGGTGCATTGATCTATAATTTTTAGGCTTTTATATAAATTACTACTTCATTTGAATGCAATTATTGCATAAATTAATACATTTATTCAGTCAAAACAGATCATAGAGTAAAATATTATGTGTAATAAAAAAATTCATAATAAAAAATAGTAGCCTTTTATTCAGTACTGTATTTAAATAGCTATGCACTACACAAACAAAAATCACATAATTGGCAATAAAACTTATTATGGCATTTAATATAATTTATAAAAACAAATTTATTAATGTGCAAAATGTCTACACATTTGACTGGATATTAAAAGCATTTATTTAGTAAAATTAAAAAATTAGTTTAATTTTTCGCAACCCATTCAAAAACCCTTAAGTTATTTGAAGTTCAGGTCACATAATAGTGAAAATATAGCAATATTTCTGGTTTTAAATATAAACTCCAATTAAATAAAGTTATAAAAACAACTTATCGCGGATTAAAAATTAATGCAAAAATGATTTTATTACAAAAAAGTCGCCAAATATATCGTAAATAATAATAAATACAAAAGGTTGTCCATAATAATCGCTACACACGAATGTCATATCAATTATAAAATAAAAACTACACTTAAAATGCAATTAAAATCAGATTTCATTACACTCTCAGCGCTCATGCGATCAAATAATCACCAAAATTAGGGACAAAACTAATTATATAATGACTGATAGCCTAAGCGGACACTAACCCGACCATCGCTTCGGCGACACTCTTATCCTTGTCGTCCTCCTCGGCCTCCATGTCCTCGTCCTTTGGGGGCAATTCAAAGGCGGCAGTACTGGGCGCCACCACCACTCCGTCCCACACCGACATATTCTCGGTGATACCGGTCTCGTCCGGCTCTAAGCCCAGTATAATCTTATATCCCTCGCCGTAGCTCAAGATCCTGAGCAGCGTTTGCGATGTCATACATATGGTGTCCTCTTGCATGAGGGAGAGCGGGCTGTACAGAGTGATCGCCCCGTTCTCGCACGGGTCTGATATGCCGGTCGACCCTATCATAAAAGGCAATAAAAATAATAATTTTCATTATTTGTATGCAATTACCGGTATATTGGGTTAAATCCTCAAATATAGCAAACAATAAGTTTCAATACTAAACAAATGCTGTATAACTTTCTAATGACTGAGTTATTAGTCTGTAATTAAATGCAATACTAATCTCATTGTATTATAAAGTGCTAATTAATATCGTAATTCATAACACGATAACAGCCGGGTTAGTTATACCCATAGTTATCGATGCATTCATTAATTCACTAATACTTAAACATATCCCTAAAAACTGAAAAAGAGTTCATTGACTACTGATTACAATACTAAAGACAATGGATCACAAAAAATGGACACAAATGGCAATACCGGGCAAAAAGAGTCCGCCGGCCAACAGCTGGAACACCCTCTTAAACGCCACGTTCAACGGCAACAGCGACTGCTGGTGTCTGAACGTGACCGAGTAGTGGGCCAACACGTCGATCATCCAGGGGGACAGTGCGTTCAGGCCCTCAAACCTATGGCACACATCCCTCAAGACCCGGATCAGCACCTTAACGGTCGTCAGGTTCGCCGACTCCTCGAACCATCGCGCGTGACGTATGGCCGACAGGTGCCGTTGGATGAGTTTGATGGGTAGGTGCACCTTAGGGTCCAGTTTGCGGAGGTTCGGCATAATCGTGGCCATCAGTATACGGACAGTCGATTTGGTCGACTTGTTGGTCACATCGAAACCACTCGAGTGTTCACTCACTTCCACCTCAGCCGTGGTCTCGATTTTCACCAATTCCTCCAACACTTTAGCCCCCAAGGCCTGTATGGCGTCCATCACCGGTAGGGTCTTGAGTATCACCACGAGGTCAGCGATATTGTGGCCTATTTTCATGGTTCCCTTCTTGAAGGAGCCCACGGGTCGCACCTCATCGATGGCCTACGATTGGGAGATAAACGCACAGACATTAGTGGTGATCACGGGATCAGTTCAGGTGATGATGGCATACACAGGCGTCAAAGGTTCCCGGATTCAAAGTGATGTTCTCCAAGACTATCTGCACTTTGGACACCATATTAATGATATTTGTTTGCTCTTCGGGAGTGGGGGTTAGGTCCGCATTGCGCGCCAGTATTGCCTATGAATGCGAGGGAACGGTATGTCAATGAGTGGATCAATTGGTGGTCGAGTGGATCAAGTGATACATACGGCGGACAGTTGGCTGTCGTGATCATTAAGAGGTGCCACTCGTGGGAAGAAGTCGTCGACCATATAGATGTCAAATGGCGGTCGAGGGGCCGAGTAGTGGGTGTTTGGGGGCCGGTAGGTGTTAGGCCAGCGTCGAGGTCCGCGTGGCATCCTTTGTGGTGATGATTATCGATGTCTTTGATGGCAATTATCACTGAAAACCACTGTTTTGTTGACAATTCAAATGCTTTTGTCGGCAAATGAATGGCTATTTTGTGGACATAAATAACGTTTGCATTGATTGTCGCAAAAGTTTGTGAAGTTTTTTGAGCTCAAGAACTGAAGGTTTGATTTAGTTTTAAGTTTTTAATTAATGTTTTGGGATTTTAAGGGATATTAGTTTAATATAGATGTGTGAAAGTGTGTTGATTTATGATCTAGGTGCTAATTTTATTATTTAGTTTATTTTAATGTTTGTGTTTCAATTAAATGTTAAGTTTTTGTTGCAAATTATGAGTGAATTATAGTAAAGTTTATGAAAATTTATTAATTTGTTTTGTAGTTTAGACGACCTGGAATATTTTTACAATAAAATTCAGTATTAAAGCAGTAAATTAGACTTTGTTGAGGAAAGTTAGTAGCATTCGCACAGGTATGTCATAATTTAATAGACTTGAAGTCATAAGTAGTGTTTCGCATGAAAACCCGTAAAATAAAGTTAAGAAACAGTCTATGAATTAACACTTTTTGTACACAATTTTCCCCATTTTTATCAGTTTAACAAAAAAGGCTAAATTATAATACAAAACCATTACATGGATGTAGAAAATAATTCACAGTAAAAGTCTGGAAACTATTCAAAACTTATTTGAATGACTTATTCATACTCTTTTCAAATACAAGTTGCTA